GGGTAGGCATGGCCCAACTGTAGACCTGGCCCCAGGGCAGGCATGGCCCAACTGTAGACCTGGCCCCCAGGGCAGGCGTGGCCCAACTGTAGACCTGGCCCCCAGGGTAGGCATGGCCCAACTGTAGACCTGGCCCCAGGGTAGGCATGGCCCCAAGGCTAGGTACTGCTAGGGAAGGACTAAAATCACTGAATACCACACTCTGACGCTCAGCAGAAGCAAATTTATTGTCAGGAAATCTGACAGGCTGCCTCTGTGCAGAGAGAATAGCAGCAGAACTCCTCTGAATTAAACTTTTCTAAGTCAGAGCCTGGGTTGTGCCCTGGGGGTGGGCTTCCCTTGCTATTGCAGGTGGAGAGCAAGCTTCAAAACTGCAAGAACCACAAAGGGGAGGGGGCAGGAGGAGCAGGCCCAGGACCCCCAGCTCCTGGAGTTGGCAGGCCCCTGTCTGTACTCAGAAAGTCGGAGAGTGCTGTGGTCAGGATTCAGGGGAGGGGAGATGCCAGCCTCTGGGTAAGTGGGCTCTGGCAGGAGGCRGGAAAGGGAAGGGGAGCAGGGAAGGGTGTGTGGGCAGAAGTGGGGTCATCTTGACTTAGCTTCTAAGTGAACCCACGGTTGTGTTAACAGGCCCAGCCCCGAGGCAGCCGCGGCCCCCGTTCACCTGGATGGCTCCCTCAGAATAGCTCCCTGGTCTTGGGCAAAGTCACTTTAATCTCTTCAGTTTCCTGAACTCATGGTGGGTAAAATACCGAAGCCACAGAGTTATTGATAGTAGTTATTAAATTAACATACCTGAAAACATAAAACCTTTACAGGTGAATATTCTGTTTTTTCCCTCAGAACAGCGGTTTTCTGGAATCCAGTGGGTACCACAATCGGTTGTCCTCCCACAGCGCCACCTTGAGCACCAGGTCCCGCCAGTGAGTCTGCAAGTTCTAATTACCATCAAGTTACTTGTTGCCCGCACACCAGATCAAGCACACAAGGACACGTCAGCAAGACCTGGGTCCACAGGCAGGGCTGGAGTCCCGCGTGCCCAAGGACACGTGGTCGTTCGGGTTTGGCCTCCTCTGTCTTATAGGAGGAGTTGGAAGCAGGATTGCTCTGACGTCGTTTCAGCAGACTCTCCTTGAGGACGCAGTCCCCACCCCCTGAAGAAGCCCGAGGACCCCCATTTCTGAAGCTTGCTGGCTTTCCTGGTCTGGGCTCTGTCAGGGTGCTGAGAGGAGGAGTTTCAGTCCGTTTGCCGTGAAGAGTCGCTGCCTCCCTGAATGCTGAAGCAGAGCACSGGAGAAGCACGTGGAGGCCAGTGAGAGTGGGAAGTGGAACCTTTATTAAGGGACAGCAGGAAAGGCTTCCCACCYGGGAGAGGGGACCTGAAGGGCGGAGCCCATGGAGAGGGGAGGTCTTCCCTGGTTTGTATCTGAGGTCTTCTTTTGTTCTTTACGTTCCTGTCTCCATCTGGCTCATCTTCCTCTATCCTGCATGGTGGGGGATGCAGGTGGGAGGACCCAGGTGGAAGGCAGGTGGGCACGGGGGCAGGGAGGAGTGATCCGGGCAGGAAGGGCCTGGGTGTTTGATTGCCATCTCCCTGTCTTGCTGGGAGCTGCTGGGTTACCCGTTCTTTGGGATGGACCAGGCCTTAGAAACATTAACATCTCAATCTCCCAGAGGTTGTTCTGGTTTCCCAGGCTCAGACTGAATTCTGTTTCCTTTACTGACTGGATATTAGACCCGATCTACCTAACTACACTAACTACCTCTCTTTAAGTCTGGCTTCAGTAAAGTGGTAGGACTCATCCTCATCTCAGCGGCCCTCGCTGCCCAGCTCCCTGCACACGCGCACACTGCCACCCTACACAGAGACACAGCATCCAGCAGCTGTGGACACTGCCCAGGAGGAGACGAAGCACCACCAAACGAGTCTCTCCCAACCCCTCTTACTGACAGACTCGACGGTGCCCAGCACTTCACCTCTCTCTTTCTCCATAAGGGAAAGGGGATGAGTTGGGGCTGGGGCGACATGGGCCCTCTCCTGTGATCACAGCCACTCAAGAGGCTGAGGCAGGAGGGCCCCCCACTCCAGGCCCATCTGGGCGACTAAGGGAGACCCTGTCTCAAAGTGAAATCAAAAGAGCTGGGTGCAGCCCAGTGGTGGAGCGCTTGCCTAGCACGTGTGAGRCCCTGAGTTCAACACCCAGGGCCACAAAAACCAAAATGGGGCTCCAGCTCGGGTTCAGGAAAGACTGGGGCACAGCCGCCGTCCCCTGGGGAGGAACCGTCCGAGAGCTCTGAGGCTCTGGGACCTAGGCAGCCACAGGCAGAGGCTGGCTCTCTTTGCCACAGCACTGGGGGGAGCCCTGGGCCTCCACACGGAGGCATGTGCCCCAGCGTGAGCCACCCACCTCCGGCCCCAGGTTTTGTTGTTGTCTTTGTTTTAATTTTGAGACAAGGTCTCCATAAGTTGTCCAGACTGGCCTTGAACTTCCACCCTCCTGCCTCAGCCCCCCAGTAGCTGGGATCACAGGCATGGCCACTGCACCTAGCCCAGGAAGGCCGGCTCTTGAATGAGTATCTCCAGAATCTTGTTGATGTGCGCAGCAGAACAAAGGGAGTAACTTCCTAAAGGCATTTTGAATTTTGGAAACAAAGAAAAGCGGGGAACGTGAGCTGTCCTAGTTCAGGGTACTCGGATCAGTAATGAAGCATCAGAACCACTCTCAGGAACCACACCAGAGACACAGAGAGGCCGAGTGTGTGGCTCAGTCGCCCTGGGGACACAAGACTTTTGCTTTCTGTAGCTGCTCTTAAGAGAAAGGCCATGCTGAGGGACTGGTCACTGGGGACAGGGCAGCCAGGCAGGCCCCACTCCAGGCGCCCACTTCCTGCTGGTGGTATCCTGAATCTGCCAGCGCTGGGCAGCAGGAGGGCAGTCCCAGGAGGAAGGCGCCCGCCTCAGGGAGGGGCAGACGCTCTCCAGGCCAGGTCTGCAGACAAGGCAGCGTGCCGAGGTGGACAGCAGGGCCCAGGAGCTCTCCTCCCTCAGGCCTCTGCAAGCCCTCTGCCGAGTCTTCCAGGCCTGAGTGGGTGCAGGCGCACCTCCTACCAAGAACCATCTTCAGCTATGGAAAGCTCTCCATGGAGGGACTTGCCTCCACTGGCCTCTCCTGGCCGAAACCTCCTGCCCAGGCAACAGCAAGCTCGTGATGTGTCCTTCAAGGGTAGACTTTTAAGGTGTGTCTACCTGAGATATGGGGGGCTGTGTGCCTAGCCCGTGCAGCACCTCAGCTCCTGGAGGGTCRAGACAGAACGAGGGCCTGAGGTCCGCTGACCACCGCCTCCTGTCCCACCGCTGCTCAAAGCGGAACCCGGTGACGGGTGTGGAGGATGGCGGTGGAGGAGGGGCCCAAGTCTGACAACATTGCTCCAGGAGAGGGGCCCTGTGGCCTCCGGTCTCTGCGGGCTRCAGTCCTCGAGTGGCCGCCACGCGGCCCAGGTGCTCAGCCTCTTCGTCTCTCTTTAGCACATGCTCAAGGAGCCGAGATCAGGCTGGGCTGAGGGGTGCTGGAATCTGCGTCTCCCAGACTCTCCACACGTCAAGGCCTAGCACCTAGACCCACCTTTTGTGTTCTGCACCAATGGGCTTAAGTGCCCAAGGGTAGGACGAGGGACCCATGTGCGCACCTCACAGGAAGCCTCGGGAAGAGTACCTGCAGGCCTCCCTGGGGACGAGGGGTGGGGACAAAGGAGAATGGGGTAACGCACACCAGCTGGGGCTCAGCCTCTGCTGGACCCTGCRCAGTGGGAGCAGAGACCTGGTGGTGCCGAGCAGCTTTCCAACAGACCTGAGGTGCTCTGAGCACCCACCGCGGCCGTGTCCAAGCTGCAGGTCTGCACACGCTGCTTGACACTCAGGCCAGCCGTCCAGTCTTCCCTCCTCTGAACCTTTAATAACTAGGCCACCAGCAAGCTAGCACCTGAAAGTGAGTTTAAAAAAAGAAGCAAGACAATTTTAAGTCCATTTGAGAAAGTAAAATAAACAAAAACAATATATTATATCCTGTATAACCTTTAAAAAACCTTTACAAATATCTGTTTTAATTTTGGAAACCAAAATTAACAAAAACCATTGTTGATGCTGTTTCTTTAGAACTGCGAACACCACCAAGTGTTTTTACTCCTGATTAAACCACCCAGTTCATGGTCCTGAGGCCCCATCTAAACCTGTCCACGTTGCAGGGATGGTAAGAGGAAGAGGAAGAGTACACTGCCAGAGGGACTAAGTGCAAGGCACTGCTGCCCACGTTACGTGGAAATCGTCGTGACTTGTGGTGGCTCCTGAAAACTCCATCTTACAGATGCGGAAATCAAGGGCCAGGCAGCTTGAGTAATGGAGGCCACCTAAGTGCTAGATCCAGGAACACCAGGCAACCAAACATCTCCAGAGGGATTCAAATTCACAGGCCTGGCCAAAAGAGTTTTTACAGACACCCAATAAACAATTTCACCTTAAATGTCTGCCTAGAAGCAATTGCAACAGGTCACTCTAATCCTGCCCTCCACAGCTTGCACTCTAATACTGCCCTCTGCACCTGCATTCTAACCCTGCCCTCTGCAGCCTCCACTCTAATCCTGCCCTCTTCACCTGAACTCTAACCCTACCCTCTGAACCTGCACTCTAATCCTGCCCTCTGCAGCCTGCACTC